TTTCAGTAGGATTCTCCCTTTGATTGAAAATATCCTAATGCTGTCGAATAATTCATCAAATGTCCTTTTTATATTACACAAAGACATCAATTATCTGCTAAACCTCAGGCACTCTGACACGAAAAAAAATGTGACTATAGTCACACATACTACATTAATAGAGTATCAATAATATTCTGTTGGATATCATTCCAAACAATTACTTTAACTATCCTGCAAACCTTTCTTTGACATCACAGAATTGCATTTCTGTTTATGCAAGAACAAAATGAAATGGCACTTTAGAAATTGCTAATGTGATAGTTTTATACGGTACTACCTTCTACGCTTTGTTCACATTGGGTAGTGACACCCTCCTACCCTCTAGTCACAAAGGCAAACTCCTGAATTCCATGAGAGAATTCACCCAGCTTCATTTTGCTTGCTTCGTTCCATTATTTAGCACAGGGCAAGACAGAAACTGGAGAAATGCTCCTGTTTTGGGGGGAACCCAGGCTAAGGGAAGGCTAATAATCAGCAGCAAGACATACATGGAAGGAAGGTCCTTTTTTTTTTGGCAAAACAACTGAAGAATTGCATCATACAACATTGTACAAACTATAGTTTAGCTAAAACATTTTCCAAGAAATATTTCCTGGAAATAACTTCTGTTACAGAAACAGTAACTTTTCCATGTTTTCTTGAATACTGTATGGTATAATACAATCTGCAATATTAATATGAAGCTGTTAAGAACCTGACATCTGACCTTTAAATGCTTTCTGACTCCAATTTGAGGATGCCCCAGACCTCTGTGCTCTGAAGAGCTCAACTAAAGAGTTGTCCAGTATGCAAATCCTTAGAAAGAGGTGCTTTAAAATGTTCAGGAGGGCATAGGAAGCATTTAAATCTTTGAATCTAAACAGCAGCCACCTCTTTTCCCTGGTTCACCCAGCTGCTTTGCAAGTTCTCCTTTCTGACTCTGCATGCAAGAAAAGTAAAGCAAAATAGTGGTGTATGTGCACAGATGCAGAGACAGCTAAGAGCAGTTTTTTTCCAAATCAGCCATAGGAACTTTGGAAAAAACACAGCTGCTTTCCCGATTCAAAGAAAAGTGCTTTGTATGGTTTCCCATACATTGCAAAGCACCTCTTTTAAAAGAATGTGCATCTTATGAGCTTTATTATAGTCATGAATATGCCTTATTCCCAAATGTCTTCTGATATGTTACAGAGTCTATATCTATAATGACAAACAATCTACTTGGAGTAGCCAGATAACAGGAAGCTCAGAGTGTCCTACTGAAGTTATTTGTACATATGACTACTGAATTTTGAAAACATCTGTTTTAATATCCAAGGATTTAGACAATCTCAACCTGAGTTACATATTTAAAAAATAGATCTCTTTTTTGAAGGCCATGTAGCTCAGCATTGTCTTTAACAACCTGCATTTTCCAGATGTGTTGGGACTGCAGCTCCTAGATTTCCCAGCCAGTAGGCATTTGTAGTAAAGACACATCTGGAAGATGCCAAGCTGTGAAGAGAACTGTTACTACACAATACTTGAGAAAGAATATAACTAACCTTGTCATAGGGAGAACAAGTAGATGCCTCTTTGAAAAAAAAAATACAGAGGAGATTTGTGTGGGAGATCTCTTTAAACATCTCTTAAAATGTTTTTTTTAAAATTAAATAATGAGAAGAAAACAAATCGAAGAAAAAGTAGACAGCTTTCTTCCTTTTTTAAAAAGATTAACTACTTGCATGGCAATTTCTTTTACAGCTATGCTTCTTAGTTTCATAGAGCTGGCCCTCTTATTTTATAAGTACAGGGAAAGAAATCTTTTCAGGCAGTGCACTCTCTTGCTATAGCAGAGGAACCCAGTTCTCTCATTGTAGGTTTTTTTTTTAAATGAGACCCTGAGAAATGAGGGTGTCACTCCTTTTCCCATCCCTTTCTATGGAATGATATCAATGTTGCACTGGTGTCAGACCAAACCCCCCCCCCCCCCCCCCCCCCCGCTTACGTCTGTGTACAGGATGGAGAAGAGTGAGAAAGGAAGTGAACTCTATTTTAATCCAGAATGGCTGCAAGACAAAAGAAATAACAATAAGGCCACACATTTTCTTGACGGTTAGCTTCAGAAACACAGGGACACTTACAAAAATATGTATGTTAAATCAAACACAAAACTGATTTCAAATTTCATCCCATTATCTTCAGGAAATAATTTGTTGTACATTCCAGCTGGCTATAAACCCTTGAAACAGCTGTCAACCTAACGCATTAATTGAAAGTGAATTTTGCCACAATCCAGCAGAGTTATGCCCAAGTAGATTTATCGATTGCTTTGTTTTGATGACTTGACATAAAGCCATCATACTTTAACTTGCCCCATCTGAAACTGAAACGCAAGCTAGTTCTAGTAGTGCAGATATGATGGGCATTAACTTTGCTATTAAGGCTATTGCAAGCCTTCAGATAGTGGTTGCTGTAAAGTACTGCCGCCCTCTAGCCTATGGCAAATCAGAGATAATGCAGGGCAAAGACAAAGGCACTTTAGGCAGGACAATGACAATGAGGCTAATAGCAGCAGTCCCTTGCTGCAGATTCTGTCCCTGATAACTGAGTAAAAGCAGAAGGTCCATCCACCCCCATACAGTCTTCACATTTTACAGGGCAATCGGAATGCTCCTCAAAGCAGCAGCATTGACTGCACCCCTGGAAAAATTCCCTTGCATAGTTGTTTGCATCTGTTCAGTTGATCTTTACATCTGTTTCATGTAACAATTTGCTCTTGAAAAGCTCTTTAAAGAGAATCTTTTTGCTTTTTCAGAATCGCATTAATAATGCATAGGCATAGTGCACATCGTAGGTTATGAAATTTGATGACTCTGTGTTTTATTTCTACAGCAATAAAATAGTTCCAGCTATTCATGGAGGTAAGAGATGACCCTGCTGAACTCTGTTATGCTCCTGATTTTTGCTGTCAGCAGCAATTCACAGGAGAAAAGGAACAGAGTCCTATCCTTATTCAGAAGCAGAAACCATATGTCTGCATTCCACAAGGCTAATTATAGCTCCGTCTAGGGAAGCCTTATACATTCAAGATGCACAAACGGGGGCCACCTTCCACCATCTCCCTCTGGGCTCAACCATTGCCACTAAGTGCTGATGGCACTCCATGCACCACTAAATCACATTATCAATAACTAAGATTGCTTAGGACAGGTGTGAGGAGCTCCCTTATTCAGTTCTTTGTCCAGCTCACTCTGTCATCTCATCTCACTGCCCTGCTCCAGCTGTTAGCACCTCCAACAGTGGTGAACATTATTTAGAAGGCGAGATCAGTATGATAGAAAAGGATCATCTCCTTTATTACTTCCTTTTAGCCAACTTGCTTTCCTCTCTGGTTAAAGAGGTTTGCAAATTTGGGAAGCTCCATAAAACCACTTTATTGGAGAAGACAGTTTAAAAGAAAAAAATGCAAACACGATGAGAAGTAATAAACATGATGTCACTAAACACATTACTCTCTCACACACACACTCACACACATCTCTCCTCCAAGAAAACTCTGGATGTAGTTTTCCTCAACAGTATTTTGGCAGTGTGTGTTGGATTTGGCTAAATTCTGAGTAGAGGCAAATCTGTGGTTTAATGAGGCAAAGCAGGATCCCCAGGAAATGGCATAACATCAAATCTCAATGCTTTGTCAATTATTCAGCATGTCAGGATGCTTCAGTTAACAAAGTGCTGTGCCTACAAAACACTGGAGTAGAAGGAGGAGGTGGGAGAGGAATGCAATAATTTGTGATTGCAACTCTTTTTTCTACTTAAGGGAACACCTGATCAGAAGCTCTGTACTTAATCCTTCTTTTGGTTGCAGATGAATGAAGATCTAGACAGATGGTTCAGAATTCCTCTGAGAATTTGGGGTAAGAAATATGTGATTGAGATGAATATATTTCCAAAGTTAATTTATATTTTGAGAGGTTTACCAAATGTATTCCATCATTATCATTTTAAATTGATTTACAGGTTATTGATCAAAGTTCTTTGAGAACTCTTCTTGAGAGATTTCTATTGTATAAATTATAGCTATCTGCTGAGAAACATGCATTTAATTTTCCACATTTTTCAGATTTATCACTAATAATAATAATAATAATAATAATAATTTAAATTAATATGCTGCCCAACTCCCAGGGACTCTGGGTGGTTTATGCTACCTTTGGTGATTTTTGGAATAAGAATCTTAGAATCCAGCTCTCTTTGGGCTCAGTTTAAGAGATATTATTGATCCTACTGAAATCCTGGCCATTATTTGAATCCTTGTTGGTAGAGGGATCAGGTTCAATGCTTGCTTTTAATGTTGCAGGACATATATGTGAAATATTGTGTTTTCATTGTTTACTTGTGAAAAGCTCATGTTATGGGATAATCCCAGTTTAAAAATACATTGTAAATGTGTGTTTTGGTAAACCAATCCTGTTACAAGGTTACTTTGGATTAACTTAGTTCTGAGACAGCCATTTTTAATACTCCGGCAGAATTTAAAAATTAGTTTGATTTACCCCAAAGTAAATGACATTATAGTCAATGTACGTACTTGTTATTTGATTTATACCAGATGCAATTGCTGGGTTAGGTTAGAGGTTTTATAGGAATTATCTATAGCTTTGAAACCAGTGACCTTTTTTGAAGGAAGCTGATATTAGTTACTTACTTGACCTTTGGAATAATGCGTGAATATCCTGGTAAAGAGTGAGGAGTTGCATTAAACAATGTAAAATTCATTTCCTATAATCTTAAAATGGAGATTATAAAACAACAAAACAGTGCTTTTATGTATTCTGGATATTCCAGAGAATGTTTATTAACAATGGTTACACTCACTCTGCTACTGTAGATTAAATTGGAAGAGGCAACCTGGTAGTCACCACTTGTTATCTGTTCCCCCTTTTATTTACTGTAACATTTCTCTACTTCCATATAGAACCCTTTTAATTCCTTACCAGCTCATTACTGCCATCCTCATCAAAATCTTCCTCTATCCCATCTGTCATTTCTTCTCCATCCCCATCCAGCCCTCCTTCAATAGGCTCTTCTGCAGAGTTGTCAGCATTCTCTGATATGCATTCTTCTTGGATCAACTCCACACTGTCTTCTATTTGTTTCTTCTGGACTTCTGGAATATACAAATTAGCATATGATTCCCCTTACGTGGCAATATCGCTTAACATTTATGGATCATTCAAAACTATTGGTTGGATCGGAATAAAGGACTAACCATATAATTTATAGCATGGCATTTATGAATTCAACCACACAGTTAATTATCTTTACACACGATGATTTAATAGAAGGGAGTAGACAATATGTTAGTCATAGAGGTCCATTCTCTATCATCTGGAGACAATGAAAGTTGGGATAACAGGTGGATAATAGTTGCATGTTATACGCCAATGAACAGTGATAATAGAAGAACTAGAGATGAGTTTGGGAGAAAAATAGTGCAATGTTCTGAATAAATCCAGTGCAGGGGAAAATAATTTTGTTGACTGACATGAATAAATGGATGGGAATAAAATAAGAGAGTACAAAAAAAGTACTTGAGCAACTTGGTGACCTCAAGAATAAATGAGAATGGTGACTGAAGAGTAACTTCTTAGAAAAAGGTCTATTTCAAACATGTTCTGTAAGCACAGCTCTATTCCTCTGTATACATAACCAAGGAATATAAATCTACAAGCATGAATGATTTGATTTTATGAGGAAAGACTGAAAGAATCACTGAAATATACAAGAGTGATGAAAGCTTCAGAATATGGGACAAATAAGTTTTTGTATTCTGAAAAGTGGATCTTGGGAAAAAATACAACTGGATCAAAAGGAAAGAACTAAAAGAAACTACTGTGAAAACAAAATAACTTCAGAAAGAGTAAGTACAAGTTCTTTATGAAAAGGTATTAAAAGATTAATTTCCCAATGGAATGAATGGAAAGTAAATGTAAGGAAAGATAATAAATATATTTCACTTGAAACAGCATGAAAAGAGCTATGCTACAGAGTGCCACCCAAGTGTGTGGAGTATGAAAAAGGCTCCTTGGTGAAATGATAAAATGAGATTGTGGAGGAGAAAAGAGGAATATAAGAGAACAATTGTTACAATAAATGATTATGAAAGAATGATACTATGTGATATGGAAACAGAAACATGAGAATGATACTGCGTGGGGGAATCAGAAGCAAATAATGTAGTCTTAGAGATCATGGATAAAATTTAAAAAGGGGAAATACAGAGCAATTTGATGGAAAAGAAATTGTTTAAAAGGATAACAAAGAAATCTCCAGCAGAGGGGATAAAAATAAAATTAAATAAAAAAAATTAGAATGAAAATTAAAATTAAAAAACAAAAGTTATGAAGTTATTTGGGATAAAACTCAAAAGAGGGTATGTTGAAAGGAGCATTTTAGGGATTTATGTGGGAATGACAGCATATATTGAAGACTGGAATTGAAGTGAATGCTATACAGTAAAAGCTAGTATCCAAGAAAATATAATGGAAAGACATAAACGTTATGGGCTGTTGAAATGGTAAGGCTGCTAGTGTTGATGGTATAACTAGAGAAATGTTAAAATATGGATGTGGTTGGCTCATGGAGTAGCTGATAAAATTGTGTGAAAACCACACTTGTGCCTGGCAACTGAAAGAATGCTACTTTTCCCCTATAAAGGCAAAGTTAGCAAGAATACTATAATTGCAGAGGGATTACTTTGTTACATGTGCCTAGGATGATGCTGGCCAGAATTATGACTGAAAGAGTACAAGAAATAAAAATGAAGAAAATGTTGAAAATATAGTGCTGTTTTGTGTCAGGCAGGTGATGTACAGACCAGATTTTTGCTCTTCAGCAGGTCACTGATAATGTAGAGTGTCATGGAGATGGCTTTGAAATAAATATTCAGAAGCTGATACAAAAACAAAAAGGGCAGAAGCATTTCTTAAGACCTGGGAAAGGAAGTAGTGTTAGGAAGAGACTCAGGCTGGCTCTTCTTCAATTCATAAGGGTATAAGAGAGGAGGTAGGAAAAGCATAAACAGACTTACAGATAGCCTATTTCAATAAGGCTTGGTTCTAGTGTTCTCGTGGAGTCTTTTTCCTGATCTGGACAACCTTGAAAGGCTGACATATACTATAGGTATATGAATATGAGAAAGAAGTAACCAAACTGGATGTCACAACAAACCATGGACATTACCAAGAGAGAAGAGAAGCCAAAGCCAAGATAAACAAAAATCTCAGAAAGGAACTTAACAAAGAGTTTCAGAGAGCTGTTAGAAGAGACAAGAAGCAGTATTACAACATCTGTAAAGATATTGAAGATGGAAACAAACATGGAAAGACAATGAAAGTCTCCCAAAAGATCTCTGAACTCAGAAGGAAGTTTCCAAGTTGAATTAGTATGGACAGATTGATTCAAAGAAGATCAAACAAAGATGGAAGGAGCATATTGAAATTCTTTGCAGTAGAGATGTCAAAATCCAAGATACCCTTGAAGATATTCCCTACTTACAAAAACCTATAGTACTAGAAGATAAAATTAGATTAGCACTCCAGTTATTGCTAAGTTGGAAGGTTACAGAAACTGATGGAATATCCATAGAAACATTGCAAGCAACAGAAGAAGAATCAGTAAGGGTTCTAACCAAACTGTGCCTGCAAATCTGGAGAACAACACAGTGGCCAACAGATTGGAAGAGGTCAATCTAGATTCCAGTACCAAAAAAGGAGTCTTAAGAGTGTACAAACTATTATACAATATCCTTAATTTCACATGCTAGCAAAATAATGCTTAAGATCATCCAATGCAGATTAGACCCCTACATGGAAATAGAGCTGCCAGATGTTCAATCAGGCTTTAGAAAAGGCTGAGAAACAGGAGACATTATTACTGATGTACTTTGGATAATTGAGAAAGCCAAAGAATACCCCCCCCCCAAAAAAAGCCAGTATGTGCTTAATTGGTTATAGAAAAACCTTTGATTGTGTCGAACATATCACACGGAGCTTAGAAAAAAATGGGTATCCCAGAACATCTCATTGTTCTCATGCAAAACGTATATAACAATCAGGAAGCCACAGAACAGAACATGGTGAAACAGAGTAGCTCCAGGTTGGCAAAGGAGTGAGACAAGGTTGTGTACTCTCCCCTTATTTATTCAACCTATACGCTGAATACATAACAAGGGAAGCTGGAATGGAAGATGATGAGCGTACACTGATGTAGGCTTTCACAGCCAGTATCTGTTGGGCAGTGTTGGGCTTTAGGGTTTAGTAACTGCGGTCTAGATAATAGATTTTCTGAAATTTCACCGGCAACTGTGGCTGTCATCTTCAGAGGCAAGGTAGTCTGCTATGCAGACCACAGGCAACTGAGCAAGAACTGATTGAGCACCTGTCTTTGTAGCCAGGTGTTTAAGTGAGTAGTGATTAATGTGCCATTGGGAGATCTGAAGGACCAGGTTAGGGACATATCGTTATGGAGAAAATCTATCTATGTGGTCACTAAGATCTAATGCTGACTTGATGGCACATAATCAATCAATCAATTAATCAATGAATGTTCTGTACTAAAAATAGGGCAATACTGAGTTGAAAGCTTTTAATTCATCTTGAATTATTGTTTCTTATTGTCTTACTGTGAGGGTTCTTTGCTTTCCAAGGACTGGACACACCAGTGTAGCAGATCTGTACACAATGCTTTATTGTGGCACACATCTTCCCCAACAGCAGGCTATTCCTCTGGGTTAACTCCACCCTTCTAGGCCTTGCAAGTTGATGTTGCTACATAAATACATCTTTAATACTCAGTCCTTTATGCTTAGTCCTTTAATACTCAGTCCTAACAAAAGTCTCAAAGTCTGTAAAGTGGCAATCAACTTTTGCCTCCCTCCAAAAGTTCTTGCACTGATTGGGATGAGGTGTGCCTCAGTGTGGGTGCTCTTTTTCTGATTGCTGCCGAGCTCCAGGCTAAGCGCCAAGCTCTGCTCTTACACAGTGTTGCTTTTGAGCACTCCAGCTGAGCTCCCAAGCCAAGCTCCAGGCAGGAATCCCACCAGGATATGCTGCTTACTGTAGTATGTGGTCCTGGCAGTTGACTGACAGCCCTCTTGCCTGCCTATAATAGTTGTCAGTCTCCAAACGTTGCCTCCCGCTTCCCCGTCTGCTTGCTTACTGTTTTCTGATCTCCTTTTCTTCTACAACCCACACACACTTTGTCTCAATGTTTGCTTTTTAAATTAAGGGCCTGGGTGGGGTGAGGCACATCCTTGAAAACACCAGGGGGTGGCTCAATTAGCCAGGCTGCTGTGGATGCTTGTAAGTAAACTTGTGAGTGAAGGGATGAATGAATGAATGAATGAATGAATGAATGAATGAATGAATGAATGAATGAATGCA